TCAGCAACAGTGCCTGAGCTTGGTTCCCAGAACACAAGGCTTTTAACAAAGGGACAATGATGTGTCCCCTTGACTTCCACAGGCAACCATAGACGTGTTCTCCCAACCCCGCAGAGAATGTCTGTTACAGTGTAATAAAGGGAGGAAGCAATGATTTCACTCCAGAATTTAAAAAGTGATAGGACAAACAGAAAGAAGTCCATTAGGAGGAAGCGACTAACTCAGGAGAAGGAACAGAGCTTGTTGGAAGGGGAGGACCAGCTGAGTGGGTTAAAAAATAGCAGGGCGAGCAAGCGGCGCTGCCAGCCTCCCCCGCCCCTCCTCCCTGCGGAGGAGACACATGTGTCAAGGCTAATGGGTCAGGGAAAGTTATTGCACAGGCAGCTTCCTCTGTGGTTGGCGCGGAGTTCCCACTGCGCTGCTCCTGCTGCCTGCTCCACTTCAGACTTCTCCTGTGCCCCGTGCTGTGCTCCTAGCGGCAGGCGGGGGGCTCAGGCACACTTGCAGCTGGGGCCGGTCCACCAGTGTCCCTCCCTTCCCTTCCTCCTAGAAAATTCCTCCTTGAAAATAATGGGTATTTAGAAGTGGCCTACTTTAAAGGAAGGGCATAAAAGAGAGACAGGAGAAAGGAGGCACAGGAAAAGCAGAAAGAGGTGTTATCACAGAATGGTAAGGGCTTGGGGTGAGGGGTCGGACGTGGGTTCAAATTCTGACGTTGCCATGTACCAGCTTGGAGTTTCTGGACAAGCTATGTGACCTCTCCAAGCCTCAGTTTCTTTCTCCATCAAATGGAGATAATATCGTGCTGATCACGAGGAGTTGTAAATGAGGCGAGAGCCCAGAGGCAGTTAAGTACGCGGGGATGGTCCTGTGATCATCGTCATCCTCTCACACTGGGGCTCTTGCTGTTGATGATGGTGCCCTGGCAGCCACCTCTTGGGCCTCCAGCTTTGCTATCTATGAGTGACTTGAGCCAGGCAGTCTATGAGCTCCCTCCTGGCACTGCCATTCTGAGAGTCCATGCTTTCATGATTAAGAAAAAAAGGAAATGGTAGGTTCAATAGAAAAGATATATACAACTGACATTTGCATGCTCATTAGGTTTGCAAGTCACTTTTATGTACGTCTTCTGATCAAGAGTAAATATCTCAATTTTACAGATAAGGAAACTGAGGGTCAGAAAAGTCAAGTGATCTGCTCAAGGTCATGAGCTTAGAAAATGGCAGAATCAAGACTCCTCTTTCCAACACAACATGAGACTGCATTTAAGGCCCCTGAACTGACACTCACATTTGCATCACTCTGTCTCTGCTCATCCCCTTTCCTCTGCCTGGAACATTCTCCCACATCAAAATGTCTCCTCCCAGATTCTATTAGTCCCTTTTTGATCCTCTGAGAACATGTACTGTAGCACAGGCTGCCATCACGGCAATTGTTTTCAAATGACTGTCTGCCCCACTGCACTAGGCAGCCCTTGAAGACAGAACCTAGTTTTTATTCATCTTTGTATTCCTAATTCTTGTCCCATCATCTGACACATAGTAGGTTCTCCACAAATTTTCAACAGGTGAATGAGTATAAATAATGCATATCATCTATCAGCTTGGCTGGGCAAAGAGATGTATTTGATGTGGTATAAAAGTATTGGGCTATCCATACAGTTTGACATAGCCTACATGAATCATCATTTTCTTTTTTAATAAGACCTTGGTCTTTGGAACTTATAACATTTTTTGAAACTCATTAAAAATCACAATCTACCCTCTTGGGAATTTTGATTGGTCACTGTTTTCAAGGTGGCATTCAGAACTAAATTATATTTGAAGGGCTAAATTAGATGACTATTATTTAATTCCAGCTACACCACCAACAGAGACCCACACAAAAGGATGTGTTGTGAGTGATGTGTTCAATGGAGACCTTACTTCTTTTAGGCCTGTTTTTCTTTCTTTCTCATCTTGGGCTTATGGATCATTTATTTTATTCCCCCAAAGGTTCAACCTGATGGTTGTTTTAGACTACTTTGATAAGATTTTAAATGTCACAGCTCTGTGTAGGAGGAGGCGATTCAAGGTTAATGAGAACCCAGACCACACTGAGTGTAAATCCAGCCTTTGGACTGACAGCCATGGGTGACAGAGACTGAAGACTCCCACACACAAATATTGGATGCAGTTTGACCTTTACCTGTTGAAGCAAATGAGCTAACTCATTCTGAGACAGATAGAGCTCTGCTGGGATTAAAGTTTCAGGAAGATCAACTGGGGATTAAGTTGTGATGGTCAGAAGCAAAGAATTCAAGAGAGGGACCTTGAGGGGTCTCCCGTGTATGTATGTGTAGGGTATATATGTGTGTGTGTGTGTGTGTATTATATGCATATATATTTACATGCATATATGTATGTGTGTGCACATGTGTGTGTATTCAGCCCCATCCCCTTCTATGTTTAAGGCAGCAGAAAGATTTGCAGAGATATGCCCAATGAATACCATGAAAGTGTGCAAAATGTAATGTGCATGTGTATGACTTTTACCATCTTCTCAAAAAGGTCCCTTTGTGGTGGATTATTTCTTCCTCATTCCTCATTTGCTGTTGAGGAGAAATAATTTTGATTCTACTCCCCAGAAGCATAGAGCATGGGAACACCATTCCCTCCTTTACTCTCTCAGCATCTTGGGTCACTCCTCCCCGGGAGCGACTTTGCTGGTTGGGGAAGGAACTGAACGTGCTCCTCTGAGTGCCTGCCAGGCTTCTCCCCAGCTGCGGGCATATGTGATCTGTGTAGCTGCACGGAACACTGTGCTCAGAAGGGCCTCATGCCTGGTTTAATGCTCTGCTATTGCCATTTTGAAATTATTAATAATTTTTGAACTAGGGGCCAGAATTTTCATTTTGTGCTCATCCTCAAAAATTATGTAGCCTGATGGGAAGACACGGTCTCATTTGCTCTGCAATAAGGGGAATGTTCTGCCCTTGCACAGGGAGGCCTACAGTTCTGGGGGATAAATTTCAATTTAGGGGGATGTTTTAGAAAGCCCATTTGGCCAGAGAACCAAGGCTTACCCTCCTATCACCTTCACTGGCATATTGGGTGTTTGGGAGGGAGCGTTGCATGGTGGTACAAGTGTGGGCCACTGCTGGGCACAAATTCTGGTTCTGCCACTTACTTGGTGCATGACCTTGGGCAAATGATTCAACCTTATGTACCTCAGTTTCCTAACCTGTAAAGACAGGGTAACACTATTAAATGCTTTAACGTATCTAAGTACTTATGGTTTCTAGAACATAATAACTATTATTATTAATAACAATTGCTATTATAATTTGATCACCATGAAACCTATACCTTATTTCTCATTTGATTTGGAATTGAGAAGGGGAAGACAGGGAGTTTTTTTTTTATTGATTTCTCTAAAACCTCAACAGTCCCTATTGTTACAGCCAGTGTTACAGCAAGTGTTAACAGCAACTGACCAGGGAAACAACCAAGTGGCACACAGAGGGTCAGAGAATCAACCTTTATTCTGCCGGCGGCCTCAGAGGGGCATGCCACCAAATTCTGAGCACCGCTTCCTTGTTCTCCTCCAGTTTTATACACTTCTTGGGGTCACACACAACCAATCAACTATGAGCATGAGGACTTATCCAATCAGCAGTGGAATTCAAAAAGTATCCAATGAGCAACAAGCTTTACATCCAATCAGCAACAAGCTTTACATATCCAATCAGCAACAAGCTTTACATATCCAATCAGCAACAAGCTTTACATATCCAATCAGCAGTGGGAACCAAACAGCATCCAAGCAGCAACAAGCTTTACATATCCATTCAGCAGTGGGATTCAAAAAGTATCCAATCAGCAGTGAGTTCAGCCATGGGGCCCCGTGGTGGGTTTTTTTCCCTATCGCTATGTCTCAAAAAAGGTGAAGAACCACTAGTAGGTTTTTAAAGGATCTGTCCCTGCCCTCTCAAGGAGTTGAAAATTCATAACTCAAAAACTGACACTATAAGGGAGTATGGGATAAGAACTTTATAAAAGTTAAAATCTAAATCCATTAGGATCAGCTGATGACAAATGAATCCCTCTTATTTTAAAAGAAGACTTTTATCATCGTCTTTGTAACCTGCTGCAAGGGCACATGGATGGATATTTTCCTTCCCTGGACAAAAGCAGCAAGCATGTATCCGAGAGGATGATGTAAGTACAACAGATGTGGTTTCCAACGCAATGAATCAGGCCCAGTGTAGTGTTTGGGCAGAGCTGTGTGCCTGAGACTGGCTTGATAATTGTCTCAACCATTTTGATTGTTCTCTGGACTCCACAGGAGGAGGACGATTCTTGCACATCATTCCTGACCTCAAGAAGCTTATGGGCTGGTGAGGCAACCAAAACAGAGACCATGGTCAGGCAGGGCATGCAGGCTGGTGGTGGAGGTGTGGAGGGAGGGTACTTTGGCCTGCCTGCGGGGCCAGCAGGGGTGTCACAGACGGGCTACCCTTGGACTCTTAGAGTTTGCATGTTAGACGTGTGTGTGTGTGTGTGTGTGTGTGTGTGAGAGAGAGAGAGAGAGAGAGAGAGAGAGAGAGAGATGAATCTTTTAGGAAAAGTAAGATGAAAGTAGCGCTATTAACGCACACATACAGCCTGCTCTCAGGGTGGTGATTGCGTCCATGTTGGACTCACTGGCGCTGTAAATGAAAATCTTAATTTAAATACTCTTCCCAGCAAAGACTCCCTTGCTCTTCCTTTCTCCCCAGAATGCCTATATATTTCTTTAAAACCATCCTCACTGTGATTCATACCTGATTTAACAACATTTCTCTCTGGGGTTTATCTCTGGTATAAAGTTTTCTAGATGACCACAAAGAGATAAAATGCTGAGAAACGTGGAGCGGCCTTGAAGGCCTCTGAGTGCAGATGCCGTGGGGGAGGCGGGCAGGGAGGACGGGTGACTGAGCAGGGGGAGGGCCTGGTGGGAGCCGGAGACACCCCCAGCTGGAGGCCTCAGCGGAGGAGGGTGTGTGGAGCTTCCACTTGCTCCCGTGGGCAGACTTTGTGAAAAGGCAGAGACAGAACACCTCAAAGTAAGTCCCAGATTCATCTCTGTTGAAACCCGGTGTCTATGAGTGAGATTTGTGAGGGGGCCCTACTGACCCCACCTGCAGGTGGGGTGACATGGCGAGGCCTTGGTGTGCGCCCCTGCACCACCTCAGACCCTGCGTGTGACCAAGGGGACGTCCTCTAATTTCTGGAGTCTCACTTTTCCCATCTGTAAAATGGTGCACCTGCCTCATGTCAATCTCACATGAGATGTTGGGGTAATTTGTAAAGTACTTTGTGTATTGTTATTCCACATAGTTATGTATTTATTTCGCACCACGGAGCATGTTGTGAAGCCATGTAAAATGAGAAAGAAACTAGACCAAATCAGACAAAAACAAAGCACAAGTAGGGGATCTATTTGGAGCCAAATAAGGACTTGGAGAGTGTGTGACTGCCATCATGCCTAGGGCCTGCAACCCTCAGGATAGTGGCAGAGACTCTGTGCAGGAGGCCACAGGCCTGTGTCAAAGCAGACAGAAGAAATGGTTTCTGTTGAAATTCGTGTCAGTCCTACAGTAAGGATGCCTCCCTGCCTTCCTTCTTTATCTATTACATGACGGGCATGGTGTTAGGCACGCGTGACAGCACACAACCCAAGGGGGAGAAAGGCCGTCCAACCCGCCAGCCCTACACAAGGCAGAACTGGCTAGAATGGGAGCCGGGGGTTCCAGGTGCAGCTGGACACTGAGGAAGGGGTTCCCAAGGCTGACGGGAACTGTTTCTTTCGTTTAGGTTTGTTTATTCAAGTTTGAGTTCATATTTTGTTTGTATGTGCTTATTTCTCTATTTATTTCCTGAATATTTATTTGTAAAGTGTCAGAAACAGGGTTTATGCTGCAGACCTGGTAGACACTATCTGGTCACCACTTAGCCAAGGTACACACTGAAGCCTGACTTTCCGAGACCTTTTGTGACAAAACTCTCCTTGGTGCAAGGTATAGGGAGGCGGCTTCTTGTCAGCTTAAAATATACGCTGCTCATCGAATCCTAGTTATTGTCCCAGTATACCCCCATTCATTTTATGCTCATTTAATTCACTTCCATTTACTCCAACCTAATTAAGTTTGATTCAATTCCATTTAGTTCAAAAAATTTCTGAACATTTGCCAGGTGCTGGGGGTCCAAGGACGATCAAAAAAGAGGCCGGTCTATACCTAACGCTTCGTAGTCTTGACACTTCCCCTCGTGACCACTGGGTGGCAGTGTGTCACATGAAATGTTCATTTTGCGGGGCTGGTGAGGGGCTCCTCCCCCAGGCCTAAGCCTCAGAGAGTGTTGCTTCTTACTTGGATTTGTTTAATGCACACTTCCAAATTGAACCGACAGCTGGTATTATAGCCGTGCGTGTGCAGTATGTGTGCTTAATTATACTGTGGAATTAAATTCAAAAGGGTGAGAATGTGGTTACATGTGTATGTTTCCAAAGCCTGCTCGAGTTCGCAGCTTCTGCCTGGGGCTCAGGCAGGGAAGAGGAAACTGCCGAGGAAGCTGAGGGAAGCCTCAAACCCAGCGGCAGGTGGCATCAAAAGGAAATTGTGCAAATCTGGCTTCCTGCGCCACTGACAGCCACAGCCCTGAGCTTCCCTTCCCTGCCCCTCTGTTGCCTGAGGGTTTTTCTGGAACGGTCAGACTTTTATTATTTGCTTTTCCCCCCAATATCATGGGCATAAAATGGTATCTAAATATGATTTCAATTTGCATTTCTGTTTACTTGTGAGGCTGAACATCTTTTCACAAGTTTATTGGCCATTTCTTGAGGAGTAAATAATTGTCTGTTTTTTATCTGCTCAGATTTCAGTGTACCCATTGTTAATTTTTTTTTTTAAACAAATGTTCTGATATATTGACAAAGCCTGTCCATATTTTCCATACCAGCTAAGACGCTGTTGGCCTCAGGTAACGTAGCACCCAACTAACAATAGCTTAAGCCACAAAGAAATATAAATGTCTCATGCAACAGGAGTCATGGCACTGGGTGGTTCCAGGGTAGGTTAAGAGGAGGTTTAGACCCGCTGTCCCTGTCCTTCTGCTCTGCCTTTCTCAGCATGTTGCCATATCTCTTCTGGTGGTCTCAACACCACTGCTGCAGTCCCAGGGAGGGTGTCCTTGTACCACACAAGCAGGAAGCAGGAAGGAGGATGGCAGGAGCCCAAACTGGGCCTTCATTGTCATTCTTTTATGGAGGATCAAATTCTTTCTTAGAATCCTCCTGAAGTCTTGCCCTATATCTCACAGCCCAGAACTGGCCGCATGCCTGTATGAGATGAATTGTTGGCAACTGGAAACAGGACTCCATGACTGGTTTAGGCCAATCCCAGTTCATCCCTGACAGCTGGGCAGATTGCAGCCCCAACAGAATCCAGGGGCAGGGATGAAGGCAGAAAGGGTTACGTGCAGGCAGCCAACAGTGCTCCTTCCCCCAAATCAGAGCTAATCAGATAGTCAACCAGTTCCTAATAGTTTCCTCCTGAACATCTCGATTTTTAGTTCTCTGCCCAGATATTCCTCCCCTGGGCCTGCTTCACAGCTTGACTTCCCTCTGCTGCCTTCCTCTGTCGGGTCACTTTTCTGAATACCATGTTTTCCTCTTTCTTGTTTTTTTTTCTCTCTCTCCTTTTGCAAAAGCCCAAATCCTTTGGCAACTTCCTAAGAGATAATGCACGGGAGATATAAGCTCCGAACCTCGCTTGTGTGACAATGTCAATATTCCATCCTCCCAGTGGATGCATCATTGGATTGGTATAGAATGCTAGCCTTTAGGTAATCTACTGTCTCAATTATGGAGGCATTGCTCCTTTGTTTTTTTATTTCCAGTGTCTAGAAGTCCAAAGTCATCCTGTGTCTTGATCCTTTGATAAAAATTCACCTTCTGTTCTCGAAAGCTCTCCAGATCTCGTCCTCACCCCTGGCCTTCTGGAATCCACACAGCTCTACCTGGTGTTGGGCACTTAGGGCTCCCTCTCAGGTGGAGCCTTCTACCCACAGCCCTTGGCAATGTGCTTGTTTTGTGCCTCTGATAACTCTTTCCCCTTGGTTTTCTCTGTGCCAGATTCCTGAAGCTCCTGTCGGTTGCAAGGTAGACTTCCTGGATTAACCCCTCACCATCCTTACCATTTTTTGATCTAGTTTTCCTCTCTTTATCTCTTTGTTTTACTTCCTGTGAGTTTTTTTAGGCTTGACTGTCCAAACTCCTTATTAAGTTTTTTATTTGCTTTTATGTTTTTACTGCCTAAGAAATCTTTCTTGTTCTTTAATACAGTCCCTTTCATAGCCTCATATTTTATGTATAAAATACTGCTCGCCCGATTTTTTTTGGAGATTTTCTTCTGTTTCTCGGATTTTCTGTTGTCTCTGAGTTCCTTTTGTTTTGTTTTTAGGGCACTTTCCTGTCTCCTAGGAGAGCTCCTCATTGGCCTGTCCACGTTAATGAAGCAGGCACTGAAAGGTCAGTTGGAAGCTCTGAGTGTGTGGGCTGGGCTTGTTTTTTTTCTTTCTTCTCTTTCTACCTATTTATGGGGGTACATGTGAGTGTTTGTTACTTGCATAGAATGTGTAATGATCAAATCAGGGTATCTGGGGTATCTATCACCTTGAGTGTTTATCATTTTTATGTGTTGGTATGGTTTCAAGTCCTCTTGTCTAGTAACTTTGAAATACACATAACATTGTTGTATAGTCACCCTAGTGTGTTATCAAAACTTATAACTTACTTTGAGCTTTTTTCTTTTTTTGGTTAGACAGAGTCTCACTCTGTTGCCCACAGGCTAGAGTGCCGTGGCATCAGCCTAGCTCACAGCAACCTCAAACTCCTGGGCTTAAGCGATCCTCCTGCCTCAGCCTCCTGAGTAGCTGGGACTAAAGGCATGCGCCACTATGCCCAGCTAATTTTTTCTATATATTTTTAGTTGTCCAATTAATTTCTCTCTATTTTTAGTAGAGACAGGATCTCGCTCTTGCTCACGCTGGTTTTGAACTCCTGACCTTGAGTGATCCACCCACCTTGGCCTCCCAGATTTGAGCTTGTTGATAGGAGGATCTTATGTAGGATGATTGGGGTATATCACTTTCTGATGGTGATGATTGGACCATTTCCAATTTGGTCCTATGAGGACCTAACAGTGGGTCTCTGTAGCACCAAGTTTCTGCAACATTAACTTACTCATATTCCTCAAGATACCAAACTTCCTCAGGCCTCAGTTTCCTTATCTATAATCAGATGGAATTGGGCTAGGTGAACTCAAAGGACTCTTTTCACTCTACGGTTTTATAATATGATTCAGGACAGAGATTAGTTAAGAGACGGAAGCATATTAGAGGGAATCAACTATGCTAAAACAGAAAAATCCTTTGAAGCTGTCAGGAGATAGGCTTCTAAAAATCTAATAAAAATTTTGACTCATTGGAGACCTTACTCAATGGGAGATAATTAGAAATAAACTTGGGAGGGAGGACTCAAGGTGGGCTAATATTTGGTGGCAATGCCTTAATTAATTTTGCCCTATGCCCTTGGGAAGCTGCAGTCACCGGGTTTTGTAGGCTACCTCACGGGCCTGAATTGCACACCTAAGCTGGACGTTGCTGATTGACTGAGGCATTATAGATCCAGAGAGAAGGAAGGAGTATTAGATTTTAATTTATAATAACCCATCCAAGACCCAGGGTCTTAGACTGACAGATCCCTACACAAAGGTCAACATCTTGGAGGATTTCTAAAATTAGATTCTTGTTTACTCGTAAAATGAAGCTGTGTTCTTCCCTCTAGGGCTGCATGAGGTTAAGAGGTTCTCAAAGGTGGTAGGAAAAACATCACTTGGTGATTTCACATTTCTGCATAGGACTTTACTGGGCTCTGATGTGTGTGTATTAAAATTAAAACTAAGTCTTAGTTTCAACTCTATTTGCTTACTTAGATTGTAAGTTCCTGCAAAATTGGTGCCTGCTAGCCCTACTTTTTAATGTATCACTGACACAATATGTGCAGTTGGTGTTGATTAAACGTTTGAGTAAATGAATATATTGAGATCTAAAGATGCCCTAGAAAACTGCTTCCTTTTCATCCACCTCTAACTCATGGGGAAAATCTATAGGTCACCATCCAAGTTCAGGATGTTTTAAGCAGGCTGAGGATCAGAATGGGGGCTTGTTGAAAAGATAAATATCCATTCGGTGCCATTTGACGAAATTCCAGTGTCACAAAATACCTTGAGGAATCATGTCTTGGCTGGCACTCCTGACTTGTCCTGCAGCCACTTCAATATCACATCGCCTGAGCAGAAATATAGCTAACCTGTCATAATGCTGTTTACACAGAGCACAGGAGAGAGTGATGACAGGGGAGACATTTAGGGCAGATTTCCTGGATTTATGATATTGATTTTTGTTCTTTGTATGAAGAAGAAATTAACGTCCCTCCTCCTGGAAATATGTTCTCTGTAATGAGCCTGGTTAACTTCATGAAATACAACTTACCAAGTGAATGTTTGCCAACGGAGGGACCTGGGTTGGATTCAGAGAGGGGCTGTTCTCACCTAGGGAAAAGGCTCTATTAAACCGCAGATGAGGAAGGAGACAGCTTAGGCCGCCGTTGGTTTTGGCAACACTGTTGAAAGACAAGCCTTCGTTGGGGAAAATGGTTTAAGAAAGTAATGAAGAGGAAGAGGATTTGCACAGTAGCACTGACTTAGGAGCTTTTTATGTTTGTGCTTTCAATAAAGCCATTTATTCATTTATCTGTTCAACAAACATTTACCAAAGGCCAGACACTGTCTTCATCAATATGGGGGTAAGGACTTGCCTTTAGGGAGCTAACAGACCAGAAGAGCCAACCACCCAAACCAGCCTCTTAACAGTTGAGCGTGGAGGCTTAAACTCCTTGTGAAATGCAGAATCTCCTCTGAGCCTTATAAAATGGGAAACTTGGTTTTGGAAAAGTCTAAGTCTATGTCCCACCTTTAATTCTCCAGTGCCGAGCATAGCATATGGCCTGCACTTTGAAATCAGTCCTTAGAGAAATATGCCTTTCATCATTTTCTCCCTTTTTAGGGATCTACAGTGATTTCCTAAGTTGCCTGCTGAACTCAAGATCAAAAACCTATGCCTGGGCCGGGCTCAGTGACTCATGCCTGTAATCCTAGCACTCTTGGAGGCAAAGGTGGGAAGATGGCTTGAGCTCAGGAGTTCCAGACCAGCCTGAGCAAGAGCAAGACACTGTCTCTATTAAAAATTAAAAGAAAATTAGCCAGAAGTCATGGTACGTGCCTACAGTTCCAGCTACCCAGGAGGCTGAGGCAGGAGGATCACTCGAGCCCAGGAATTTGAGGCTGCTGTGAGCTAGGCTGACGCAACAGCACTCTAGCATGGGCAACAGAGTGAGACTCTGTCTCAACCCCCACCCCCCCCCAAAAAAAACACAAAAAAACCTATGCCTGAGTTGGAAGCCTTGTCATAATTTAGCTTATCTTCCTTTCTGGCCAGGTGGGCATAGCGCCCCACGGTGCACCTGTCCCCTCTGAGATTGCTGTCAGCCAGCTGATACCCTCTGATAAAATCTTCAGATTGTTAAACTGTTGGTAGATAGCTACTGCCCCAGGAGCACCCCCACACCCCAAACCCAGGTGTGCTTTTGCCTGGGATTGCCCAGCCTTCCACAGCCTAGGAGCTAAAGGGTTAATGCCTGGCAACCAGGGAACACAAACCCCAGCACTGTCTGCTTTGCTTGGTCTAAGCCCCAGCCGGACAGCTAGTGGAATATTTTGTACACACCCTGCTCACCCTGGGAAACCCACTCTGCACTCTTTCTACCTTCCATGCTTGCTCTTCTTTGCTTGTTTGGATAATCCCCATTTTCCAAGGTCTAACATGGCAAACTTTATCTATGCATTTAATAACTATTTATCAAAAGCCTACAAAATGGACACAGAGGTGCAAAACAGACATTGTCAGCCCTCCTGGAACTTGGAGTCTAAAGTGGGGAGATAGATGTCCATCAAACAAGCGCATAAATCGGCATAAGGCGTGTGGTGTGGGCCACACCGGCAACGCACTGGGGTGTGGTGATGGGGGTCAAGGTGGTGGGATCTGCAGGAACCTGTACCTGGACCCTGGACCTGGTCTGGTTCAGGGATGGGAGGTCAGGGAAGCCTTCCATGCAGTGCTGAGGTCTGAAGCATGAGTAGTTGTTAGCTAGGCATACAGGCGTAGAAGGAATGTCACACAACAGGAGCAGCATGTGCAAAGGCTCTGGGGTGAGGGAAGAAGCATTGTGCATTTGAGAAATTGACAGTGTGGCCTGCAAGTCTCATTTCTTCCATGGACTCTTCTAGAACTCCTGAGAATTATATCTTTATATCTTCCTGTTGATTCATTAGCAAAGAGATTGATGCCCAATGGGACATGGTTATGAACTTACAGATTTTATGTCTGGTAACTCTTTTGTTTGTTTTTCTGAGATAAAGTCTTGCTCTGTCACTCAGGCTGGAGTGCAGTGGAATCATCAAAGCTCAGGAATTCCTGGGCTTAAGCAATCCTCCTGCCTCAGCCCCCCTGAGTAGCTGGGACTACAGGTGTGCACCACCACTCCCAGCTAATTTTTGTTTGTTTGTTTGCTATGTTGCTCAGGCTGGTTTCGAATTTCTGGCCTCAAGCGATCCTCCTGCCTCAGTTTCCCAAAGTGCTGGGATAACAGGTGTGAGCCACCGCGCCCAGCCTGGTGACGGTTCGATGTATGACTTTGCATTATTCTGTAACTGCTTCATGGTGCATTGTCTCCCCCCACCAGACTGGATGCTCTCAGAGGGCAGGACTGGTCAGGTGGGAATTGCCTGTGCAGTGTTAGTCTAAGAACTCATAAGAGCGAGAGGGTAGGATTTGAGCCAGAATTCAGCTGATGGACAGAAGTTGGCAACATAGAATCTATCATGATAAAAGGAAGTCCTTTGAAACTTCTAGGAGAAAACATTTTAAGATCTAAATCATCATAATAATAAGGTTTAATTCAGTTCTCCGAGCACTATGATGCTTTTTCTGTGAACTCCTGGCTTTACAATACAGGGTTCTGTATTTACTGGGATTGAAGAAGGTATTTAGCCTGCCAGTAAGCACCAGCTGTCTATGTTTTATTTTCTGACATTTGAGAAGTAGAGCAGATAGACCTAATCTCCGGCCACTTCCCATCTCAGCTTCCTGGGTCACTGCCTGAACTCTCGCACAGAGAGGTGACACGAAAAGCCGGTGGTGTTATTATTACCGCTATCCCATGGCTTATTGCCTCTATTAAAGAAAAATGGGTCTGAGATGGGATCCTTCAGCCGGGGATCTGAGGAGGCTAGTGTCAGGCCCAGGGGAGGTCAGGGGTCATTTTTTACTGCAGTGAGCCGGGTGCAGGGAGTCCTCAGTGGGAAAACTCGTTAGCCACGGAATGGAATTCTATCTGGGGCCTGGCAGCTCTGTAACAACCCCCCCCCACGTGACCTCACGCAGACTTCTGAGCCTGCTGATGTGCGCTGGCCATTGTGGCCTTCTCCTCTATGTTGTAGGCAGTGGCTTCCGGGAAGGGAAGAGGGCGAGGTCCGTGGGAAGAAATGAGCCCAGAGGAGGCCGTGCCAATTACTGCACCTGTCAGTGTTCAACAACAGATAAAATTAATTCGGAAACCCAAACAGTCTGCAGAAAACCGAACACAATTATCTAAGAAATTAAGTTATACCGTTGCCATGACCTTTAATCAATCATCCAACCGTTAATGTTAATTCTGTGATCTAAAAATCATAGTTCTATTTGCATTTTAATGGCTGCTAAATGAGTGTCATCAGGAAGAAATAATGGCAGGGTGGCCTTTTGCTACAAATTCTTCCTTCCTAATGGTGATGCACAAAGCGAGGAAACGGTGTTCGGAAAAGGTTTTGTTTCACCTTCCAGCAGATGTATGGAGCTGCCCTTCTCAAATGAGAAAACAAGCAATTCCCCACAAATACCACCACCTGTTGTTATAAATAAATCCAAGCTGTAAAATGGAACGAAAAGCTTAATGGCAAAATCATTACTCGGCTTCCACCTCCTCCCGTCAACCCTTCATAATAGCCTCTTAACAACTTGTTCCTCAGTCATGTACCTTTTTAAGCATTCGACCGGCCACCAGGCCCCATCCCCAACCAAGAGAAATGGCCTGTGGATTTGTGGCTAAAAATAAAAAGTCACCAACCTCGGGGAGAATGATCACACGTCCATTTGCGCGCTTTAAGTGGCTCGAACCTGGCTATGTGCCACCCCAGACTTAGGGTTCCCTTTCGATCTTAATCCAGACACCTGGTGGCTTATTTTATAGCTAATGAAGCCAACCTTCAGGTGGGAGCATAAAACCCTAATTAAATCAGGGCATCATGAGGTTATCGGCAGGCTGTTTATAATGCGGCAGCTTCTGTGAGTAGTGATAGGAAAATTATAAAACCTTAGAACTGGAATGTTGTATCCTTTAATTATCCACTTATCCATCTCCAAACTCCTTTTGCCTGCAGACTTCCTCACTCCATCTATAAATATTGACTGTTTAACAGGCCCAGGATATTATACTTACTAAAAATACGTGTTCCTCACCTGAAACACAGCTTCTTTCCTTACATCTTCTGGGAGAAGGCCTGTATGAATTATTTCTTTTGATGAAAGAGGTCTTGGAATTATACATTTGGGGGGAAAAGCTTTAAAAATAAAAAAAGCTCCAGAGATCTTCCAAATACGGGAAATTCAAATAAGGAAGGGAGGAGAAAATATTAGAGATGAATGCTAACTTATTTTTTTCTTCCACGGGAGGGTGGGGGGCGGAGTGGGGAATGTTCTCGCAAAGATTGCAAAACTCCATTTCATAAAAGATTTATTAGCAGTGACAGAGGGAGATTGCTGAGTGGGACCCTGATAAATGCCTCTCCTCTTTTTTTTTTTTTCTGCTTTAAAATTATGGGTTCTGTCCATAAAGTACTGATTAATTCATATTCACTCAATGACATATCCTTTTTTTCTCCCCCAAGCAAAGACTGTAAGCATTTTACTTCAACAAATAAAGTACTCTGGGTGGGATGCATACTAATTCGTTTAGCACTGGAACTCGCACTGCAATTTATGCAGCTAATCACAGCAAAGCAGGAAAGAATCTTTTCTTTTACTGTGACAAGACCTGCCTACCTTTCAGCATTTTTCCCCCTAAGGTATTATTAATCTCTAAACTTCACAAAATTGAAGAGTTATCTAAGACCCTTTAAAACAGAGTGGCATCATATGTAGCAACTCCCCAAGAGAAAAATTTCTTTGCTTTTCTAAAAGACTGACTGTAGCAATTGGAGTCTTTTCTTCTTTAAAGAATCCAGATAAAGTAACTGGTGTCTGTTCTAAATTTCCAGAGGAAATTGGCTGGATTTGAGACACAGTATCTATTTTGGAGTATTAGGTGGTTCGGGAAGAGAGAAATGGAAAAATACCTCAAGGGAAAGAGAAGACATGATGGGCAGTGGCTCAAGAACCAGAAGCAGCTGTTAACGCAAGTATTTATTTACCTGGGAGAAACACGACGGCATCGCAACGAGATGGCCAGGACTTTCCTGCGTCATAAGGTGGTGCCTCAGAGAGTCTGCAAGCAATTTTCAATTTATTAAAAAATTTTAAAATTATAAGAGTAATATGGTTCCATTTAAAATATTGGAAAAGGTAGAAAATTACTAGAAAAAGGATGATTTCACCAGCTAGCACTGGGCTGGACACTGATCTGGATTAGTAAGGGGTTTTTACATGAAAAAGGGTCCTTTGATTCTGGTTGGAAAAACACTGGCCTGTGCTGTGTGTCTTGTTCACATGGCCCAGTGCTCGGCGCTTGGTGGATGCTCACTATGTATTTGTTGAGGGAATGAAGTTGTAAAGGAATTGTACACAGCAGCACATATCCCAATTTGCTTTTGGATAACCAAATATAGCAGCGCATCCAGGTTGGTTGCGTAGGGATGTGAATTTAGAAGATTCATCTCAAGGAGTTGTGTCCAGGGGAAGAACCTGGGGGATTCCTAAACCTTTTAATCCGGGTCTACTAAGGATTTGAGATCTGGAAACAGTGTTTTCAGACTCTCATGGCTCTGAAGAGGCTGAGTTCTAATCAAGCTGGCAGTGGGCACTGGGGAAGCCAGGGAACAGTGAGTGGTCAGGGAGCTGCTGACTGGCAGGCATTGAAGGACAGGAAACCCAGCCATTGAGGGTTGGGCACAGGACTCTGCTTTCAGCTGCTGGGAGATCGGGGCTGTACAGTTGGAAACTTGAGCTGCAAGCCAGGGGACCCACCCACTGGGGGAAACAGAATGGACCATGATTGACTCCATTTGGGGACAAAATTAGTAACAGTGCCTGGAGGTGAACGGAAAAGGAATCAAGGTGACTCAGTTATCAGGTTTGGGAGGCGTGATTCAGGGAGGGGGAGACTATTCCATAGTCAGAATATGAAATAGTCACATCAAATATAGGAGAATCAGGTTCATTTTTGCCAGAGTTATGTGATACATTGCATACTTCAAGCTTTCTCCTTCAATAATAATGATAGCTAACATTTATTGTGCGTCTAATATGTGTCAGGAACATTGCATAACACTTGACTTGCACCTCACTTAATTCTCACAACAGTTCTGGGTGGTAAGCACTGTTATCATCCTCTCCATTTTATGAATAAGTGAAACGAAGGCTTGGAAGCGTTATTTGTGTAAGACAACATGTCTAGGAAGTGGAGTCAGGGCTGAATGTCTGGATGTACCAGAAAAGTTGGACAAACTGTTAAAATTCTGAAATTTCCCTATTCCAGTGGGTAAGGAGTCATTACAAGCTCGTTTGTCCACACGTCCAGGAGATCCCCAGGACACCCTATGATCAACTAAAGAGTGATGAGTGTAGTAGAATGTCTCCGAGGCCAGCATCTCTGCTGAACTAGGTGTACTTATTTTTCCTTTTTAGTTTCTGGATTTAGAGTCTCACTCTGTTGCCTGGGCTAGAGTGCAGTGGTGTGATCATAGCTCACTGCAACCTCAACTCCTGGGCTCAAGCAATCCTTTTGCCTCAGCCTCCCGAGTAGCTGGGACTACAGGCATACACCATCACACTTGGCTCATTTTTTATTTTTCGTAGAGATGGGGGTCTCACTATGTTGCCCAGGTTGGTCTTGAACTCCTGGCCTCAAGTTATCCTTCCAAATTGGCCTCTGAAAGTGCTGGGATTACAGGCATGAGCTACTGTACCTGGTCACTTTTCCATTTTCTAATTGATAAATAAAAATGTCACATATTTATGGTATACAACATGATATTTTGATATATATACACATTATGGAGTGGCTTAAGCTAATTAGCATATGTATTACCTCACATACTTATTTTTTTGTGGTGAGAGCACTTAAAATCTACTTTCTTAGCAATTTTCAATTATGCAATATATGATTATTAGCTCTAGTCACCATAATATACAATAGGTCTTGAACTTATTCCTCCTCTGTAACTGGAATTGTGTGTCCTCTGGGCTCCCCAATTCCCCTGAGCTGGAAGGTGTACGTACTATGACTCTTACTCCTGGGTGGAGGCAGTTTTCATGGCGGGCATCCTACCTGGCAGGCCAGGGTGCAACACGCTTAAACTTTCTCCAAGAGACCGTGAGCATCCCTCGGAGGCATGAGACACAAAGCTCCCGCCTGGTGTTCACCAGCAGTGGCTGCAGGCAGGGCCTGATTGTTTCTCAGCATCAACAACACCAACCCCGCTTCTTTCCTCAGATTTTTAGGCTTTGCCCTCTGTAAATGTGCCAATCCCATGAAAACCCACTTATATTTCCTGCCATTGCTTTCTCTGGGGCAGATGGTGAAATATTGGGGGTCAGGTAAGGAACTCCAAGAATGTCAAAGTATTTCAGTGCAGTTTAATAAAAAAAAAAAAGCTGGGATCTGAAGGGAGCTGACGTGAGTTCAACTCTTGGCTGCATCAATTATTATCTGTGTGACCTTGGATTGGCTATGAAACCTCTTTCAGTCTGTTTGTAAAATGGGGTAATTATATCCACCCTCCTAGATTCCTACTGTCCCTTTAAGTCTTTTCACCAGAGAAAGACAGAATTAATACCACAATAGATACAATCTACCACACAATTCCATTGTCTAGTCCTTGGGAGGGATTGAAAAATTGGCAGAGCAGGCTATTAATAGTTTCCAAGATAGAATCCTCACCAAATGCTACACTATCCTCTGCTCCAAAGAACAGACGTGGGTTTTCTGTCTTATTTGTTGTGATGGGTTTGTTTATTGGAGCTCTTCTTTTAGAACTGTCTAGAACTTTTCCAATTTAAGTGACTCTGAAATGACATTTCCAAAACAAGCCTAAGACTTTTCTGTGCTGTCCCCAGCTTCACCTCACATCCCCATGAAAGCACACCCCGGCTTCATTACATTTACCAAGATAGACTCAAATAAATCCCACTGTAGATAAACAGCCCACAAAATTAACCATGGGTGAGCAGACTGCCTCTAAATGTACCCTTTAAAGGGCATGCTATTTAAGGGGAGAAACCAACCAGGGAATGGATTTGGAGATAATTTGTGTCTTGCAGGTGTGGCCTGATAAGGCACGAAAAACCTCACCTTTATGACTGTAAAAATGCAGCGTGCCCACCGTCAGGGTAGTCTGCATAAGCAAAGTCATTTATTAGAGCAAGATAAATTGTTCAAGTTATTTGTCAGGAGTGAACACTCATAGGTATAAAAATAATAATATAGTACAATTTGTTAAATACTTGTTATATACATCATCTGTTTGGTTTTAAAGTAACTATGTATGATTGGTATTATTGTTCCTATTTTACAAAGGAAGAGATTAACACCCATGAGATTTACTGATTTATTTCAATTTCCATAGCTAGAAGTTAGAGTAGGGGTTCTCAACCCCAGGGGACGTTTGGCAATGTCAGGAGACATTTTTGGCTGTCACAACCTCGGGGTTTGGTGGGGAATATTAGTGGAATCTACTGGGTAGAGGCCAGGAATGCTGCTAATATTCCCTACATCAAAGAACTATGTGGCCCAAAATAATAGTGTTGAGGTTGAGAAACCCTGAGTTGGGGGGAGTGGCAATGAACCAGGTTTTTGATTCCTAGTTCAATGCTTATTTCTCTACAAATTTTACAAGATAGCTGTGTAGTAGAACTGCTGTCATTGATCTCAGTTTCTCCAGGCTGATGTGGCTCTGGTGGTACCTGCTCGTTTTAGCTGGAATCATTGGGATTGGATGGTGGGTCCATTCCCATGGGTCCCTGCAGAACAGGTTGTTGGCTATACTGAGTATCACCTCTGGGTGTCACCTCACCAAATTCACGTCTAATCTGCAGGTGGTAGAGGAAGAGTCTTTACTATGGAGCAAAGAGGATATGTTGAAGAGAAAAAATAAACTGGGAATTTTAAAAAAAGGCTCTCCTGTCTACCATTGCCAATAGTAGTAATGTCATATATGGTACTTTATAATTTTCAAAGCATTGTCATATTCATTCGATAAATATTTATTGAGGAGAAAGTAAGTACCAGGTTCTGTTCCAGCTCTGAGCATACACTAGCTAAGGAAACAGAGTCTGAGCTCTTGGAGCTTGTGTGCTAGAGGCAGGAGATACAGACAATAAAGAAGTTAAGTATGTGATATACCAGAGAAAGATAAGTGCCATAGAAAATAATAAAGCCGAGTTTGGGCACTAGGGAGTGTGAGTGTGGAGGTGTTGCCATTTCACACAAGTGAGCAGGAGAGGAGGTCTAACAGGTGAGCTGGTGGTAGTTTTACAGACATGAGGATGGGAGGACGTGAATTGTCTGGATATTGGGGGTGGGGGGATGGGGGGTGGGGACAGTTCCAGGAAGAGGAAACAGCAAAGCTCTGGGATTGGTGTGTGCTTGACCAGCAAGGAGGCCAGCATGGCTGAAGTAGGAGGGCCTGTGGGAAAGGAGCGGGAAGAGCTGGGGTCCCAGAGATGGCAGCAAATGGACCTTGTAAGCCACTGAAGGAATTGAGTTTAACTCTTATGGAGATGGGGCACCACTGAAGAGTTCTGAGCAGCGGAGTGACATGATCAGACATAGCTTTAAAAGACCAGGCTGGCTGCTGCATTGAGAACAAAATGGAGGAGCCTAGAGCTGTGGCCAGAAAACCAGTTTGGAGGCTGTTGCAATAACCCAGAGAAGAAACAACAGTGGTTGGCACCAGAGGTGTAGTATTGGAGGTGGTAATTAAATCAATCTGATTCTGAATATATTGTGAAGGTTGAGCCAACAGGGTATGAGAGAAAGAGAGGGGAAAGAGATGGCTCCAAAGATTTTGGCCTGAGCAACTTTTCCATTTGAGATGGGGAATCTGTAAAAGAAGCAGGTTTGAGTTCCATTTGATTGTGTCAGTGTGAGATACTTATTAGACATCCAAGTGGAGAGGTTGAGTTATACCATATCGTGTAGCATGTAACATATCCAATATTATATCATACTCCCGTTTGACCAGAAACCAGTGTTTAGTTAACACGACCATCACTGCAATGTTCTGGAACTGGGTGAAAAAATGTTTTATCTGATTCTAGCATCAA